TATTGAAATATTACAAGTTGGTTGATTGCCATAGATTGGATAAAAGCACTGATTTGACTATAAATCAGAGGTTGAGGGCTGGAGGTTGATTCTTTGATTTTTCTATCTGCAACCTGGAATACTAGAATATATCACTTAAACATTTTACATGAATGAGAAGAATAATGTTGTCTCTTTTAGAGTATGTTTATGAGGTTAAAGATTTGATTTATGCATAAGGCAATTTGAAATGCTGTCTTCCTTCAGTAGGAACAGAAGGCCTAAGCTTACAAAGTCTGGTTAGAATATCAAGTCTGAATCCTGTTGTGCAGTAGCTCCCTTTTCAATGATGTGACCAGTGTAATAGAACTCATTTCCAACAAAATCCAAGCAGAATATGCTTGTGGATGTGCATTGATTAAATTAAGCCAGTGTAGGACCAGGAATACAATACTATTGACAATATCCGACATAGAAAATTTAGGTTGAAAACAAACATGACTCAATTTCAAACTCTCTGATGCCATCAGTTACAAATTTTAAGGACCTCTGAACTGTCTTCCCTTGTAGCCCATTTTCTTTGTTTTATTCACATGATAAGCCCTTTTACCCAGTCCCTACATTCCTCTGCCTTGCTTACCTTCCTCCTCCAACTCCATGGTGCTCCCAGTGTGGTTCCTGGAATCCTGTGGGATCTTATTAAAAAGTCCACCAGCAGAGAACTAGAAATGCTATTGGGGGGGTGGAGTCTACCATTTTTTTTTTTTTAGGAAATTGATGCTCAAGGTAAAGAAACATATCTCCATAGTTCCCACTCTTTCCCAACTTGACTCCCAGTTTAGAGTCCATAAATGTCATGTCAGAATGGCTTTTTTAAAGCTCAACTCTCATCCTCTGTATTACTTAGAGTGCTTAAATAGTTCTTATTTCTTTTAAGATAACTTAGAAATTTATTTAGTATTCAGAGGCCTTTGTCTCATACATGCATATTAGAACTTATAAATTTATTAAAGAATCTATGGGCCTGTTGTGTTTCTCATACACTCATTTTTGGTTAGCTATTGTTTTGATTTAAAATTCATGATGAATAGTCTTTTGAATAAGCTGTAGTTTTTGAAATTACTGACTTAAACGATATAGCTTATGCATTAAAGGATAAAAATGAAACTAGACAATTGCCATTGGATCAATAAGTTTATTGAAATTTAAAGTGTTGACCATTTTGTTTGTATTCCAAAAGTCTGTTACAGAATTAGTTGATTAATAAGGTTGTCTCATTCAGAGAACTTCTGCAATTATCAGACGTAAGGTATTTGGAACAGGGCAACTCAACAATTGTCCTTGAATGTGTGATTCCTTGTGTTTGTTAACAGCCCCCATGATGTGATAAGAAGTGAAACAGAGAGCAAGCATTTGGAAACAGAATTTTAACGTGATAGTATTTTATTGTTGAATTAAAATCTTGTATGGAATATGGTCTTATTAAATTTTATATTAGTATTTATTTTATAACATTTTGAAAACCATACCTCTAGCACAGATGAGAATAGTAACTTGGCCTGATGTCGGAGATCTTTGGAGTAGCACTGGTTACAGCATAAAATTAGGGATAGGTGACTCAAGTTTGGCTCTCTGGTTTTCTAGCATCCAGCTGGATGACGAGAGCACATCATTTAACCATTTGTGATAAGTGAGAGGAATAATGTAGCTGCTTTGAGAGGATGTTTATGAGATTTAAATGTTTGATTTATGCATAAGACAATATGAAGTTCTTTTTTCTAAAAAAAAA